CCAGACTCTTTTCAGTGGTGCCCAGCGACAGAACAAGGGGCAACGGGCACAAACTGAAGCATAGGAAGTTTCATCTGAACATGAGGAAGAACTTCTTCCCTCTGAGGGTGACGGAGCACTGGAACAGGCTGCCCAGAGGTGTTGTGGATTCTCCTTCTGTGGAGATTTTCAAAACCCACCTGGACGTGGTCCTGTGCATCCTGCTGCAGGTGACCCTGCTTCAGCAGGGGGGTTGGACTAGATGATCCCTAGAGGTCCATTCTAGCCCCTAACATTCTGTGATTCTGTGGTTCTGTGTGGTTTTTTACAATGACGTTACCCAGACACATCACTTCAGAAGCTGAAATTTCTACTATTGAAATCACAGCTCCAGAAAGGGTGATTAATCAGTGGAGTGTTGCCAGTTTGGCCTATTTTACTGTTAACCTTGAACCACTGGGCGTTTTGGATCCCCACACACACCTCCCTTCAAGGCCAGGCCAGCCAAGGATGCAGTTTTGAAACAAAAAGATTTGTCTCAACTCACTCTCTTTTTTGCCACTCCTAATTCCAAAGAAAATCTTGAAACCTTTTGAAAGACCACAGCGTAGGGTAAAGGCACAAAAGCTGGAAGCGAGGCAGTACAGACAACAGCAAGACGATAAACTTCTTGATTATGGAGGCTGGCAATACCGTATAGTCCCAGCCAGGCAGTACCTCAGCCCACTCCTCCGGGAGTCTTTGTAGCTTGTCCTTGAGGAGGGTCGTTGGAGCATCCCAGAGGTGTCTGGTGCCTTGCGTGCACAATAGGGTTGCTTTGCCACAAGTGCATGCTAATACAAGCTGTTATAATAACTTTTAATTTCGAGATACCTTTTTCAAAAGATATATTTAAGTCCTGAAGAGGTGAAAGTTGTGAATTACTGCTTTTACATGACCTCCCCATGAAGCTGTGCTGCAGAGCAGGTAATGGAGCCGTAACATAATCGATGAGTAAAGCTTGCTGGGCAGTTGTGCTCTCAGCATGTGGTTCTTGGTTGTATGAAGCTGTAAAAGGAAATTGTGCTTCCTTTCTAAGCAGGGCACAATACGTCTGTTCCTATTAAGATAAGGTGACTGTCAGTTCTTGTTTGCTTCTGTTATACTGAATTTCTAGCAGCCAACTGATTTGTTTAAAGGAAGACATTTTACATTAAAAGAGCAAGAATCAGCCAAAGTTCTTATAGAGAATACTTTGGGAGTCTTCTTTCTCTTGAGGAGTGTGATTTGCCTGCAGAAATGAAGAAGCCTGCTGCTGTTTGTGCAAAGAATTTTGTGCTGAACAGAAATGCAGCAGCCTCCTGAAGTGAAGTGAAAAATGATAGGAGCTGAGAGATCCTCCATTTTAAAGCCAAGCAAATCACTTTGGCTGAATTTTATTTAATTTTTTTTTAAACTCATAAGGGGTTTTTAAATGGCTTTGAACAAAGATTTTGCTCATGTAAATAATAAAATTTGAATTAATCAGAGACATTTTTCTAAGAGGTAGACTTAAAACATCTAGCATACTTCTTGGGCCTTTTTTTTTTTTTGCTTTTATTGAAGAAGGGATGGGGAATATGTTATTAAGGAACCTAAGTATCATTGATTGAAGCCTACAAGTATTCTAGTTATTTTGATGAGGACTCCAAAATATACACCTGTCACAACAAAGCAGTTCAAACTAATGGGATTTAATAGTAGATACTAAATAAATTGGGAGAAGTTAAGTACAGGAAGAGCACTGCAGAGGATCGGTGTATACATTTTCAGTGCTCCGCTGGCGTGGTGGTGTCCTGGCCCGCTCTACCCAGTTGCAGCGATGTGCTGCCGGGCATGAGAATGATCAGGTACCTTTATCATGCAGGATCCAAGCTTCATCCTGTTCAGAGAAGGTAAGCCTTCTGCTCAGGCCTGGAAGATACAATTGTGTCCCTTTCTGAATCCTTCACAATAGGTATTTTGAGTATAAATAAGATGGCATGATGTATAATGAGAAACAGTATGTTATTGTTTGCAAGGGCACTTTCATGTGGGCGTTGTTAATTTGAAAAGTTTCACACTGGAGAGCTAAGTAATTAATATGTTGTGATTGATATGTACCTAAAAATATGCAGTACGTATTTGAACAAATGGAGCATGGATTTGCCCTTTTTTTTCCTCTACATAGCTTAAGGTTATTGATTTTTTTTTTCTTTTAACCAGTAGGATTTTTTAATGCCATGCGAGTGCTGCTTAGCTTCCATAAAAGAGTCGGAATTGGAAGTATTATAAACTATGTTTAAAAAAAAAATGCAGATTTTAATAAGAGCCAGAACAGACTTAATTTTTCTAAAAATTCCATGCTTGTTGCCTGGTGGAGTGACTGCAGCTGGGTGTGTACCAGGCTGGTTACAGTATGCAGGAAATCAGAAGTTCGAGCTGTCCTGTGTTTTGAGGGGGCACAGTCTTCATTTGAGAAATTAGAAGTTCCTCTGTAGCTCTTTGTGGAAGAGTGACCTCCCATCTCAGCTGTCCCCTTGGGACGGATGAGCTCACATGCGTCTCTTCTCTCAGAGCTGTTGGTACTGCATTTACAGTTCACGTGTTCAGGGCCATGACCTTACCAGCAAATGGACGGGCTCCGACAGTTTGGTGGGTTGGTTGTGCAATCGACCCCTCCTTTTACTTCAGAAAAGACAGTATGCGTTGAATATTTCTATCTAGACAATGAAGAGCTGCCTGCTTTGGATTTTTCCCTCTTCTGAGGAACGTTTAGGCTTAGCATCCTCTACAAAACCTGGGCAGGATATTCCCGCTCTCGTGCTACTCTGAATCTTGTAATCTTTCTGTCTCTATCTTAAAACAACTTGCTGCTGTTGTCATCACCTCTTGCTGTCTTCATTGCTTCCCCTTTTCTTTACTCCTCTCCACTCCCTTCTGTCTTTAGATTATTGCTGATCTGCATCAAGCAGTGGGAAGATAACGTGTTCAGTAATTTAGATGCAACCTATTCTTGCCAGCAATTTCACTTGAAAAATTTAGTTTTCATGGCTACCAGCCATGGCATTCACCAAAAGCTTTCTGTTTGAATAAATACTGTGAAACACTTATGCCCTCATTGTCCTATGGTATTATAAAGACAAAAAGCAACAAAGACAAGCTCAGAGAAGAATTCAGGATCCTTCTTGCACACCCATACTCAAACTGGGCTATGCACTGCTCAGGAAGCAAGGAGCATCTGCCTTCTTAATTGGACTGGTTTAAAGTTCTATGCTGCCCGTGCAATTTCAAATTACGGCAGTGATCCTGCAACATTGAGGTCAATGAGATTGCTGATAGGCATAATTATTCATGAGACAAGCCTTTGCAGACTGTATTTAGTGGTCTGGGGAATCATGCAGAATAAAAATCAAGTTGAAACTGTATGGAATTTTTCTCTTGTCTTTTACTAGGTTTCATATTTTTGAACAATTTTGCTGGTCCTTTAATATTCATGAGGAGCCCTGATCTTTTATTATGCATATACAATTATTCATGTGACTCAAAAGATGAAGAGAAGCAGAGAGGATTTTTTTTCATCTAAAGGTTGTCTTCAGTTTTCTTTCTTCTAATCTAATGTTTTACATTTTAAAAGAAAATGTATAAATTGTGACTCAGAAAACAATCAGAACAGCATTTAAATGCTTAAATATGGCTATGTCCTCGAGCTCCCAGAAATAAAGCATAAGCTAGTGCTTAAGTAAGAATTGTTCTCCTAAACTGGAGAAACAGACGGGGGGAACAAAATTCATGTTCTTAGATCAGGCAGATTCCAAGTTGAATTTATACTGTGAACTTCTCAGTCCAAAAAGGTTATATTTTGTTCTTTATCCAACAGCACTTGTAGTCCGTAAGTCAGTTCCATAGCATAAATGTCCATTCTTCAGTTTTGACCACACAAGAGAGTAAGCAACTTTCCTTTTTTTTCTTCCGGTTAGACCTGTCCTCCTGATGCTGTGTGTTGGATGTAAATTATGCAGTCAATATTGTAACACAGTGAAAATACAGTATAATCAGAGACCTTCTCAAGCTCCCTTTTCCTCCTTTTGTCTTTCTGTATCCTACCTATTAAGCTGAAGATATTTGTTGTTAATTACCAGGAGGATGTGTACAAGAGGGTACAGTCAAGCTGATGAGGTTACTCTGGTTTATCTTCTTATCTCTAAATTGCAGGTACCTGTGCTGCAGTTTGCTTTTGTGCAGGGCCTGGTCACAGCTGGTTTTACCCTTTCCTTTTACTCGGACTTTTGTGTGCTTGAAATCGATGTTTCATTTCTTTTTCGAAGCAGGAATTTTCATATTGACTTATTTTAAAAAGAACCTCCATTAGGTGCAATACAAGGATAAGGCGTTGCATAACCACGAAACAACCTCAGATCCAGCCGGTGGTGCAGGGTGGGGGTGAGGGAAGGAAGATCTGCATGTGTTCCAGCAAACAGAAGGATGGACATACCATGCATATCTGTCAGTTCGTCCAAAGGAAGCCTTTTTAATTAAGCTTCAATGCTGCAAAATCCTTTTCGCGTTACTGTGCTTACATGTGAAGGTGACCCAAGGCTGCCGTACAGCAGTTAGTGTTAGGTGGTGCCTGCTCTGACATGACTTCCCAGGTGGGAAACCTGTGTTGAAAGAAGAAATGCTTGTCCTCAGATTCAGATGCAGAAGATTCTTCATCTGAAAACAGCAAGGAGAAAACTCAAGAAGCGAAACTGTTGACACAGTGGAAAAAATGGTCTTAAACTGAAATGTTTGAAGTACACCTGTAGCTTAATGTGATATCATGTTTACCGTTCATCCTAAAGAGATCTTACATGCTTTTACAAAGTTTTGGTAACTACTTGTAAGCTTCTCAGTTTCACTCCTAAACTTGCAAAAGCTCTGAGCTTCTGTAGAGGGCAATTTGAAAACATTCAGATGGAGGATGGATACATGTGCCTGTGTGGAACCTTCTGATGAGATTGACCCATTTTTCTTCCCACCAGGTTTGGAGGAGACCAGCCAGTGTACATCAATATTATTAGAGATCCTGTCAATCGATTTTTATCCAATTATTTTTTTCGACGTTTTGGAGACTGGAGAGGAGAACAGAATCACATGATCCGTACCCCCAGCATGAGGCAGGAGGAAAGATATCTGGTATGTTTAAATAAAAAGGCTCTAATTACTGAATTCTCAGCATCATTACATAATGCTGATGTTCAAACTGGATGCTTGAAAAGTAGGAGACAGAAGCATCTTCCGTCTTGCGTTTTTTCCTCTGTTTTTGTCTTGCCTGGTCCTTGGTTGGGTCAGCTTTAGTATGTCAGTCGTTGCTGATGAATTCAGTGATCCAGTTTGATCTTGTATAAGCTGACAGCAAGTCCCACTGTTGAATTACGGTCCTTTCGTTGAGTTGGATTTGCACTGTATAGTGGTTGGGCAGAATTATTCTGCCCATATTTATCAATGTGAATATTCAGACAGATTTTTAGGTTGAAACTGTGTGTGTAACTGTGCAGCTTCAGTGGAAAACTGGGAAGTGGAGCAATTCAGTGAGCCTAGACCTTTAGTGTTCCTGCTGGTAAGCTGTGTACAGTGTTCTTTATACCATGGCTCTGCTCTCAGTTCTTGGTTTGGTTTTGTTGCCTTTTTTGGATTAAGAAGATAGCCATAATGCTGGGTAAGCTGTTCACAGTAGGTTTTAATTTTGCACAACTGCTGAACTGTCATGATGCCTGTCAGCCTTTGTCGCAGACCAAAGTCCCATGGCAGCAGGTATTCTACAAATGCTGAATGAGAAACACAGAACCTAGGGAGGTGGTCAGTTTGTTCTCTGATCTCTTCACATGCACACCGACACCTCCCCAAGAAGACAAAAAGGTGGAATTAATTCTTAACCTCTCTATAATGGAGATCCAATTTGGCTGGACTCAGCCTTCAGCCACACTTGAACCTGTAGAGGGTTCAGTGACACAGCAGTGACAGGTCAGCTTGATGGCCTGCTCTGAGATGTTGCAGGCCAGGTGTAACCTCAAAACAAGAGAGGGCTGTGGTTTTTGGGTAACGAAGAGAGCGGATGTTTAGACAGTGTTTTGGAGTGGCAGCAGAGTAGCAGATGCGGTGTGGATGAGCTGTAGAGAACACGGTTCTGAACGACTGCCACACAACATGTTCCAGTCCTAGCTGAGGTCAGATGGATCCAAGCAGGGCCAGGGATTTTTCGGTATGGCAGGGCTGTGTTGATTTCTTTTGTGCTTTACTACTGTTGTTTGTCGTGCAAAGCCCTCTGAACAGATAAGCTTATAAATTATGAATAATTGAAGGTGGGGGAGGGTATCAGTGTAACTACATACAGCCTTAAACTTTAATGACATCTGCTATACAGTTATAAATTCATTTCAATAATGTTTCAAATGGTTTCTTATTTGCTATGCATCTAGAGATACCAAAGAGGTCCCTGTGTCAGCAGAGCAGGTTTTGCCCTCCCAGTGTGCCGAGTTGGAAGGCAGGCCCAACAGCTTTGCATGCCGTGTGCTCTGTGCGGGGACTTTTGTTTCCTTGTCTGTGAGTGGGACAGGGGGACTGCAGAAATGAATGTGGGGTGGGTTTTTTGTCGCATTATTACTTGGTTAGTACTGTCATGTTTTCTTTTTTGAAAATGTTAAAAATGAGCAGCAGAGTCTGTACTTCACTCTGAGTGCCTCTGCTTCTCAGTTGAAGTGGAATGTGCAGTGACTGGCACCTCTCACAACTGACTAACTCTGTAAAAGCTGGTACTAATGCAGTACCGCCTGTGCAGGTTAAGAAGCGATATGCACAGCCAGTGAAATTTTACTTCAAGCAGAACTGAGATGATTGGATCTAATTCCGGTTGTTTGTGTTGGTTTAAAAGCTAATAGAAAGAAATCACCTTGCGTTTTCGTATGTGTTGGGATGTTCTTTAAGAAATTAATTATTTATACATGCATGGACATATGTACACATACACAGATCAGTACAAAAGCTATAATGAAAAGGAAGGAAAAAGTGGCCATCTGAGGCCAGTATTTATTTTGTTCAAAATGCAGTTTGTTGGTCTGAGGCACCATCAGCATCCTTTATAAAAACTATTTTTGCTTTTTCGTTTTGATCTTCTCTATTGTTAATTCAGTGGTAGAATCCTGGAAAGGTTTTTGAAATCTGTCCTCCATCCCTCTTTGACAGACTGTGGCTGTCACTTGCACTGCTCAAAGAGGGCAGTTGCTCCTGTCGCAGTAACATATAGCCCACCCACCAGTGAAATTCATTTTAGCAGAAGCCACTCATTCCGAATGTTAAGCATTTTTAAGACTTGTGCTATCCCGCCACATAATGTATTGCATGACTGCATGTTAATCTTTTCCTCGGTGGTACGAGGAAATCTGCTGGCATGTATTTTAAAACTGAGGTAATGCATTTTGTGGAGTGGTAGCTGCAGAAGTCTGCTAAATCAGTTGCCTGATCTAGCTGTGAAGAGAGTAAGCAGCCAGTTTTACCTTGGCGTGTGAGCTGGTGTGGCCCTGTAGCACAGAACTGATGGCTGGTCCGATTGCTGGCCTCATACTTTTTGCAGTTCTTACCTAATATTTTTTTTCTTTTAATTAAAAATTCACCATAAAGTGTTGCTTTTTTACAGGGGGCTATTTGAAGAAAAAGCTTAGATTTAGCATATTAAATAGTTTCTGTGTTGATCACAGTATTAAACCCAAGTCATCTGGGATGAAGTGTGCCTGACTGTGAGCAGATACATAAAAGTGGGGGGAGAATATGAGAAGCTTTTACTTTTCTTCTTCCATCATGCCTCGGATCAACAGCTAGGAAAACAGAAAACTGCCGATTACTCCACATTGTTGAGCTCGTTGCTGAAGAGCCCGAGAAGCCTGGCGTTAACAGCAGTTAAAGACTTACAAAGTGGACTGGAGAAGCTGTAAATGTACCTCCTCTGTTTTACTGGGAGAGACAGGTTTGCCTGTGGAAAGAGGCATTAGAGGCTAGTTGTGTTTTTCTCAGCCATGATGTTCCTGGCTTCCCATCTCTTGGGAAGGTGGTGTGGGCAACTGGGAAGCTTTCCAGCCCATGCTGGCATTTTGGTTGATAGCTGCCAGCACTGGCCTTTTTGCCTGGAAAGCTGAGGACAGCATGCATTTTCTCTCAGGAACTGCAGTGTGAAGGTGTGGGAGCTCAGCACCTCTACAAAGCAGTCTCTTAAGGGACGAAAGCGTTGTAAGATCAGGTTTTGTGTCTGATGAACTCCTGCTTGGCCATCGGGTTGTGATATCCTTAATGGAGGCATCCCCTCCCCTCAATTCTGTTCCATAAGAAAAAACAGAGAGTTGAGAGAAAAACCACCTTGAAGTCTTGTAGTACCTTGGGCACTGTTCTTTTAACTTTGCAAGTCTGAACTGCTGACATGGCAAAGATCAGAAACGGAGACAGAAATTTCCAGTGTTCACTGATCATTTGAAATTTTCTCTGAATAGAGCTTCAGGCTTTGACTCTGTTCCAGAGAAAACAACCATTCATTCAGGAGTCAGATAAATTGTTTTAAATGTTTCAGTAAATGTCTGTGTTTACCAAAATTTAATTGGAAGCCAGATTGGAAGACAAGCCCTTTATTCACAAGTCAGATACGGCAGAGGCAGCTGATGCAAAGTGAGACTTTCCACCCAGATCAGCCAGCTCCTTGCCCCGACAGTGTGCTTTCTCTGCTGGAGTGAGTTGCTGTCAGTCACCTAGAGAGATCACTTCCAAGCTTCCCCAAAATAAATACTGGCAACGCATTAGCATGGAATATGGCAGAGAGGTAATGGTCTGAGACAATGGCGAGTGCCTCAGGTCTAGTCTCAAGCACGCTAATGCAAAAGTTGCCCTAACTTTATGGTCCTGTAAAATGAGATAAATTCACAAAAGTTAATTTAAGTCCATCGCAGTGAGTGTGTTTCAGGTTGAACTAGAGTTCTTAGAGTAAATAGGCTTCAATAAAACAAGTAACCCCTTATCAGTGTAGCTGTGAGTGCTGCTGGTACCAAGCAAAAGAAGAATATCCACCAGATGATTTACTTTAAGGCTTGAAAGTGCAGAAGGTAGGAAGCACTCCTGCTAAAGAGAGGGACTACTTGTAAATATTTGAAAGCTTTGTGTTAAAATTGTCCTTTCCGGAAGGTTTGTTAGTAATTATCCGCTATTTATTACAACTGCAGCATGAAACATCAAGTATAAAAGGTATGTATGGGTTTTTGCTCTTTTCTTCATGCTTGCTAAAACTTTGATCTAAGACAGCTGAGGCTGAACGAGTGTGTGAAGCGGTGTGGGCTGGGTGGTGTTGCCTGAATTGCAGGAAGCCTCGTTATATGCAATGCTGATCTCCGTTAGGCTCAGGAGTAGCGTGGCTTCTAACTCACTCAAGTACAAGTTCTAAACATCTGTGAGCTAATTTGTTGGGAGAGGTTTTGTATGAAAAAGGTCATTCTGTAAATTAAGAATTTGTCACCACCTTCCTATAGGACGTTTTAGATTTTCCTTATGATTAGCGGTTAAGTTTGCACCGCGTCTGTCAGGCTCAGCATAGTCTTTCAACTTCATCTCTGAAAATAAATATGCTTTTCTCAGCTAAAAGTAAAAATATTCTAACAATATTCAGCCTCAATTACACTCAAGATTACTCGTGCAAGTAATCCCATAAAGGAACATCTGTCTTTTTGTCTCTTAAATTAAATGTTAAAATGTTTGTAAAAAGTGCGTTAGGAGGGAAGTAAAATTCAAAGTACGTCAGGGAACTTTCAAGTCAAATTTCTTACAATAGGGACCTCTCCTGTGGCAAAGATTGGCTTTTCTTGCTAAGTATTTAAACCAATGTTGTTTAGGTTATTTCATGAAGGTCAAACAAAATTATAGGAAAAACTGAACAGTTAAACTCCATAGAACTATTTTTTGTATCCCTGAACTTTGATAATTTCCTGACTACATTGTTTTTCATTAACATAAGAATAGTCACAAAGTACTTCTAACCAAATTTATAATTTATATCCCCAAATTTCTATCTACAATGAAAAATACTCCTTTACCAATTGTATTGTTTTTCTGACAGGAGTTAGCTGTCTTAGTTCCTGTCTTTATCTGGATAATAGAAATATTTAACT